CTCTCACTTGAGGGGGCATGATAGAATTATTATTGTTACACATTATCTACGTAAAATACTTGTATTTATCTTTCCAACTTTACATGTATTTTATCACTTATCTTGTAATTCATTCTTATCACTTGTAACAAACTGAGCTACACATGCTCTATATGTATTATAAATACACACGACTACAGATCATAAGGTCTAAGCCTTATTTGCCATAATATCGTTCACCTAGGAGGTGATATTCAATCAGGGATGGGGAGGTGAACATGTGCGTGAAGGGAGGTTAAATCGTGGGTGGGCTGCGGCCAGGGGCGGAGGCAAGGGGGGTCAGGGTGGTCAGCCGACCCACCTGAAAGTTTGAGAGCATAGAGCTCTGAAAAATATCTTCGATTTGATATATTATGGCCCCTGTAACTCATTACGAGTAAAAAATTATGACTTCTGGAAAATCAGCATTATCTAAACGAAAAATCAGCAAAATTTGATGCATACTATAGATTATTTTCCCAAATTTTAAAAATAGGGTATAATTCACTCAATACTTACGTGACACAACTCGAAAACCGAGCAAAGACAATATATCTTATTGTTAGGAGTGCATATTTATTTAAACTGCATATGAAATATTCAATTCAATATTGTTTAAAAATGATTCACCATTTACATTCGGTATATATTTTGATTTCCGACCCCCCTGAGCCATTTTTCTGGCTCCGCCACTGGCTGCGGCGATGTGGTGTGGCGATGAGGTGAGGTGCAGTGAAGTTGTGCGGCGATGTGTTGTAACACCGCCCCCAAGTATTTGTACTTTATCAAATTATGTATTGAACCATGGGAAATGAATAAACGCATTTTACGTGATTGTAAATTTTTATCATTTCTTTTACGTGGATAGTAAAATTCACGTGGGGCCCACCCCGGGAGTGGGGGCCGCCCGATATTATCAAGACCGCATATTATATTCATCTGGGTCTAGATAATATGTGTATAATGGTGGATACCCTCGTTGGGCCATAGAAATTATGTGAGTAACCAGTTGGGCATCTAAAGCCCATTTATCGGTACCGAAATACTAACAAATGTTAGGCCTGAAAATCCACATCATTGAAGTGGCCCACAACTAGTCAACTAAGAGAAGTCAAAGCCTAATTGAATAAGAGAAGCAAACAGAAAGGATAAGTACAAATGACTTGGAGAGAAAGGAAGATAGTTGCATGCGGCCGAAGTGGGAGCCTACTATTTCGCCGGGTTGGGGAAGTTACGATCGAGGAAGAAAAATCATTATAAATAGATAAGGGAGTAACAAAGGTTGGAGGAAGATTATTTTTTAGCTATACACTATCAGTTCTTGTAATCGATAGTATTATTCATCAAATTAATTATAGCTTCAGTTTATTATTTCAATTGATCATTATCTTGCTCGATCCCTTTTCCGATTAATTGATTGTTAGAAGAAATTATTATTTCTTGCTTAAACAATTTGGCGCCCACCGTGGGGCATCGTGCAAGAAAAAGATCGATTATGGCCGGAACAAATCAATTGTTGATTGAATTTCATGAGCAGCTAGAGACGATTAGGGAGGAATTTCGGCGCGAAGTGGCGGAGAAGATGGCCCATCTTCAACGGGAAAACAATGCGCTTCGATCTCAGGTGCAATCAGCGGTATCAATAGCCTCAAAGTCAAGACTCAACCGAAGGAGTGACACAATGACTGTCGCAACACGGCTGGATCTTTGTTTCTCCCCAGTTGTGACGGATCTACCCGCAACATCGACGGATCCACCTGCAACAGTGACGGATCCCGTCTCCCTCACGCTAGGTCTGTCACCTACACCACTAGTCAATATTCCGGCTTGCTTTTTCCTGGAATCCCTTCGGGTCAAATCAAATGGATCTAACATATATTCGGCGACCCAATGCATACCTACGACGACTCTGTCCTCTATCCCGACAGAGCCGTCAATTCCTCATTACAGGAGCAGAACTTGTGGGGAGCCTAGTCCATCAAGTTTCATGCAGTATCCCAGACAGAATGAGCCCAGTCTATCATTTCTAGAGTCTCTGACGGAACGTTTTGGCACAGCTGTCACGACATCAGCATCGACGCTTTTGTAATTTCCTCTCACTTTTTCTAATAAAATCTTTTCTTCTTGCAAAAAAAGATGAGAGGTTGCAATGAATGGACAGTGAATTGACAGTGAGTTTTTAAGTGAGAAAGAGGTTTATTGAGCGATCAGGATGAGTGGCCACGGAAGCCGATTGAAACGACTGTATTTTTTATGGGCAGGTGAAGGATGACAAATTCAGAAAGAGATGAGAATGAGAATAGCCAGATGAGGTGAACAAATAGTGGAAAGGTATCTGAGCAGAGCACTGGGATGCTCTTGACGTTATGCTGGAAATCGGCTGGGAAGTCAGAAAATGGATGGCGCCAAAGGGATGATGCAGAGACGAGATGAGTCCAAAATGACGGTGAAAGATGGAGTTGAATGAACGATTGAGATGTCTCATAGCTTTAACCAGGAGTACTATTCAATGAACAGTAAACATTTGTATTGTTTTTATGTATATGATGATTTTTCGGGGGGTAGGGCAGCTATGGAAGATGAGATTTAGAAGGGGGCACTAACTTGGGATAAATGAGATGTTGCATTGAATGGACGATGAATTGACGGTGAGGTTTTATGTGAGGAAGAGGTTGATTGAGTGATTAGGATGAATGGCCAAGGAGCCTGATTGAAACGATCATATTCTTTACGAGCGGATGAAGGACGACAAATGCATAAAGAGATGAGAATGAATCGAATAGGCTCATGAGGCGAACAAACAATGGAGAAGTATCTGAGCGGAGCACTAGGATACTCTCGACGTTATGCTGGAAATCGGCGGGAGAAGTCGGAAAATTGATGGCAGACAAAGGGATGATTCAGAGACAGGATGAATCCAGAATAACGGTGAAAGATGTAGTTGAGTGAATGATTAAGATATCTCGCAACTTTAGGCGGGAGTACTATATATTCAATGAACGGAAAATTCTAGTATTGCTTTTATGTATAGGATTAGGATTGGATAATGATCAAAGCTCATACCAATGTATGAAGTCTCAAATGATTTATAGTCTGATATTGGGGTTGAATATCATATCATTTGGATTCAGTTCCGAACATCATACTATACTATATTAATAAATTTGGATAAACATTCTTCATTTCGAAAATGAACACAACATTTTTTTGAAAATGATTTTCTCAGTCCTTGTCTAAATATCATGCCACCAAAAGAAAAGTAGGCAACGTGAAGTCCATATAATATCCACGTTAAGTAATTAATATTTTTTCAATGATAACGTATTAACTACCCTGTCCCAATTTGATGGTCTCATTTCTTTTGGGACTGAGATTAAGAACGGAGATTCCATATTTGCCCTTATTTTCATTTTGCCTTCTTGGTACCGATTCTCAACTAAGCAACGAGTTTGTCATTGCCAGCTAGATAATGGACTACTCCTTCATCGCCACTGCTTTTTCCATGGGGTCCTCCCCCCATTGGTTTGTGCGTAGCTCTGGAGTTTCTTCCGTAATCGCAATCGTCTTGGCATCATCCTTCTCCATGGTGTGTCTTTAGGTGACACTTCACGCTTTTGTCTCCTAGTTTTTCTGCTACATCTTCGTCGTCCTTTGTCTCTTCATCAACATCAATGGTGGTTTCAACGGGCTCAAGGCTATGATTCGATGCTGTTTGTATAGTTTCAGGGCGAAGGGATGAAGACAGAGATGTGGCGGACAGATGAGATGAGAACAAAGATTCAAAAACAGAGATGAAGAATTGAAGAGAGAGGAGCGGATTACACAGAGTGAGTGGGGAAGGGTAAAAGCAGACATACAGAAGAGAAACAAGGGACTGGTTGGGGGAATTAATTAAGGGTATATACGAGAATTCACTTTAAGTTTTTTACTCAAAGGGAAGAAGACCATCATTTTGGGACAGCCTAATTTTGAAATACATGATCATCAAATTGGGACGTAGTGAATCATACTACATATATGTATCATCACATCATTTTAAATTAACAATTAAGCACATAATTACAAACTCCCTTCAAAAGCCTCATTATGCACCATAACATAGTGCTATCAATAGAATAAAAATATTGTAGTCTTTAGTTGATATCAAAAGAAAAACAATGTTGGGCTATAAAAATTAAAAAACTTGAGTTGAATAAGTGTTTTATTAGAGCGGCCAAAGTATAAAAATTCCAATTATACTGATTTTGATTGGTTAGGTCCACATTTTTTCCAATATTCGGATCTGATACTCAACCTGTTTCAAATTGTACTATTTCATTTCGGGATTAAAGCGTACAAACATTTTAAAAACACACTTCATTCTTTCTTTAATAGTTGCAACACTTTAAATTCCATTCCATTCACATATCTTACTTTAATCATGATTTTCTACTGACATATATAATCAAATTATTATGTATAAAATATTATTAAATTTCTCTTATGTGAACTTTCCAAATATTTAATTTTTATTATATTTATTAATACTTAATTAAATATAATTACTGTCAAAATTGTGTATTGACGAACATAAAAGTGTTGCAATTAAAAATAACAGATGTAGTATTATTGGACTTGATACCATTACGGGACGATAAAAAATTTAAAACTATTGGATTAAATTAGATTTTTATTTGAATTGTAAAGTATCAAACGTTTCGGTTTTGTGTCAGACTGAGAATGTTTTTACTTGAATTATTTTTAGTTTCAAATCAAACTTGAAGAGTTATAATAAAATACATAAAAATCAGACTAGGATGTTTTCTTTAAGACTGTTTTCAGTCCTAGACCAGACCAGACTTAACTTCCGTTGTTATAAGATACACAGAGATCAGATATTTACCAGACCAAACCAGTTTGGACCAAGCAAATTTCAGAACTTTTAAAATTGTTTTATCCGGTTCCTTATAATTACGGATCGGTTCGAGATTTGTGGTTCAGGGCTTGAAATGGCGGGAAAAAGCCCTAATCAAGACCTGGGAACTGTCCATCCCGGCTGCCTTTCATGGTGTCCCGAGCGGAAGAAATAAGAATTGCAGAGTTGATATTCAACGCACGATGTCTGCTTCCGGCGAAGACTTCGCTCAATTCGACATCTCCGTGGAGGTATGCCTTGCCTCTCGAACCAAAAGCGTGTAATTTTGTTTTAGTTCTAACCGGTTTGTGTGGCAGGAAAAGGACAAGCTCGTCGGAGAAGTAATGCGCTATGTTCTATTCAAGACTGAGCAGAGTTCTGGGTGTCCGGTAAAGAGGGAGGAGTTGACTCAATTGATCACTGCGAGAAACTATCGGCAGAGGAATCTACCTGCTTTCATCATCAATGAGGCCAGGAATAAGTTCGAGGAAATTTTCAGTTACGAAATGAAGGAGCTTCAGCGCGCCCGTTTGTCCACCACCAATCGCATCTCTCAGCAAGGTTCTATTATAAATTTTCTGAATTTTGGTTATCAGCATTTCGGCCCAACTCAAATATATGAACACTGAAGCTTTCTGGCTTGTTATGATATGTCATAGCAGGTTAACAGTGATGTTACACGTTTTCTTCAAAAAATAATACGGAGTAATTCTTAATCTTACCGCTCTTTATTTTAGTTCTACTTTTATTTTCAGTTATTGGGAAAGCAGTGCTCTTAGTTTTTTCAATTTTCAAGTAATTGCATTGTTTAGTCTTATTGCATTTTTTGCTCTGCTGTAGTCCTTATTGGTGGATATATAATTGCTGACAGTTACCAGTGAAGCAAAGTCATATATCCTCGTCAGTAAGTTACCTCCAAAAGCCTACAAGGAGTGTGTGGAGGATGTGAACAAATCACCCATTAACATCTTCACCTTTGTGGTCATAAGTATTATTTATCTTGCTGGAGGAAACATCACAGAGGAAGATCTTTGGCGTCATTTGAAACGGTTGGGTTTGGTGGAGACAGATGAAAACCATCCTGTTCTTGGTAACTTAAAAGTGACATTGGAGTCACTTGTTCAGAAAAGGTCAGTGTGAATCTATTGGTGTGGTACCGAGTGATAAAGTCTGGTTCTTGACTAGCTTAAAGGATTTGGCTTTTTGCCGAGCAGGTATGTGCATAAAGAGAAAGTCCATGGCCCTGAAGGGAATGTTATTCATTACGAACTAGCTGAGCGAGCTCTGGATGAGGATATTAATAAGAAAATGAAAGATCATATAAACAAGGTATGGTTATGGCTTTTATCAGCTTTAGTTCCCATGTATGCTGTAATCTTATGTCACCACATATCTATCTACATGTGAATATGTGATACACAATGTAGAGTTGTGTATTTGCTAGTCCAATTTTATTACTTTGTCAATCTCACCCTATCATTTTTATCCTTTTTATTCTATCATTTTTATGTATAGACATCTTTGTTTATATTATTTTTTGTCATAGCTTATCTTTTTATCTTTTTTTTTGGAACAATCTTTTTATCTTTCTTATCTTTCTTATCCTTTTGGTTACGATATCATGTACCGATTAATGTTAGCCGACCCCAAAATCTTTTGGGACTAAAGCTTGGATGATGTTGTTTGTTGTTGTCCACCCCACCCTAGGTGGGAGCCTTTGAGCTATAACAACTGCTACTAAATTAAAATTCAGTATAGAATATAGATTTTCAAGAATATTTCTGAAATGCAGAATTGCTGAAAGTAAGGATCTGTATGGTAGCCAGTTGCGGCTTATTCTACTTTTTAATAGAATAGTCAGAATATGTAGCTTTTACGTGCTTTGTATGACCCGACAAATGTTACCTATGCTTTTCCTTTAAGAAACTTAGTCGATGTATTCATTTCAGCCGACTAACCCTTAGCAAGCAAACCCTATCCCCTCTTATACCCCTGTTGCTAACTTTTTTTATTTGGGCGTCTTAAAAATGACACTTCCCTTTGAGTTAACAAGTTTTTGTTTAACACTAGGTGGGAGCCTTTGTGCCACGGGTAATGTTGTTGTTGTCCATCCCATATCATTTGCCTTTTGAGCTATGACAACTGCTACTAAATTATTATTGTTTTCAAAATTCATTATAGATTTTCAAGAATATTTCCGAAATGCTGAATTGCTGAAACTAAGGATCTGTTTGGTAGCCAGTTGTGGCTTATTCTACTTTTAATAGAATAGTCAGAATATGTAGCTTTTGACGTGCTTTATATGACCCGTCAAATGTTACCAATGCTTTTCCTTAGAAACTTAGTTGACATATTCATTTCAGCCGAATAACCTTTAGCAAGCAAACCCTATCCTCTCTTATACCCCTGTTTCACTAAAGTTTGCTAACTTTTCTTATTTGGGTGCCCTAAAGACTTTGACAATTTCCCTTTGAGTTAACAAATTTGTGTTTAACCTGATTTCTTTCTCCTCTGCCCAAGTTTCAACTACACATTTTTTACTTCGTACTCCGCATGCCAGTCAAAATTTGCCAAATATTTTTGGACAAAAGGAGTATTTTTTTTTCCGTATATCTAAATAAGTCTTGGAAACAAATAGACATTCATTTTTTAATCTTAGTCGGGATTGAAGATTCATTCTATATTCTTCTATATGCATGCGTTTTTGTAATGTGACTATTATTTTGGGGCAAAGCAGTTAACGATTAGGCTTATTTGATTTTACCTTTGAAAAGTTAATGGCTCTATCTCTACTTTTGGAATGGAGGCTTTGTCCTTTAATTAGCTCCAAATGATTGTTTTACTGTGTCTAGCATGGCTTACAGTTTCCTGGAGAAGAAGCTAATTGGTGTGAGGCTGTAAGCCAATTCTCTATTTTTGGATGAATTGTAAGTATATTATAAAGAAAACAACCAAGAAAACAAAGGTTCAGAATGTACAATCAAAAGGGAAACAAAAAAAAGCAGGTTATCCAACAAGGACATTCTCTCCCCAACCTAAAAAGAAAAGCGAAAGCTAAGGCCAACACCAAACAAAGTGATGGTCAAGCACAAACAACTCAAAAGTTTACAAGTTCATGGGGATAAATGCTATACAGGATCTTATAAACAATGTATTGGATCCTAACAAAAACATCATCTTCCTTCGGGATAAGTCCATCAAAACACACAGCAATTCTCTAATGTTTATGGATTGTAGATAAATTTTGTAAACTAGATAGGACCTAATTATGCACATCAAACAAATCCATATTCCTATTCACTGGAGTTGGCAATAAACTAATTGCGTACATCACCTCAAATTTCCATCAAACTTGCTCAAGACATGAGTTATTAAAAGCACTTCCCTAAAAAGATACTTGAGCTGTAGTCATATGTTCTGTTCTTAAAAATCCTTCCTAGTCTCCATCATTGGTTACAGTCTAAGTAGGTTTTCTTGGATGGAGTCATTTTCAATAAACTTGTTAGTGAGTCACTCACCCTCAAAAACTGAATTGCGATAAATGAAGGGCACCCCCATAGTTTACCACGGCAGCACAAAGCTGACTATGTAGGGGTAGATGGGCATGAGGGGATTGCACCATTTAGTCAGTGGTGCTAGCAGTTCGGGGCAAATGGTCCTTGGCCAATTACGTTATGAATGGGAAATGTCCTCCCCCCCGGAAATTTCACCCTTTAACAAATGTTACCTTAAAAAGTTGATTATTTTTGGCCATTCAGGTTGAAGCATGGAAAGTCTTATTGTTGCATTTAATGCTGGGAATTTGTTTTAGTCACTATTATCCATTGAAGCTATTCTGCATGCTGTTGCAGATTGTGAAAGAGGAAATCATCTCTTTCGATGATGATTAGCTGATTGTAGCGGCCGGAACTGCATATGGTGCTCTTGGTAAGGGACCTAGGAAACATGCAACAAAATGGCTACATTTCGTTTTGCAAAAACCTACAGTGGTGTATTTTTTCCGTGGTGGCTGTAAATGTGCGTCTTTGTAATTCTTTTTATGTTCTAGCCAAACAGTACAGAGACGTTGCAAAAGTAGCCAAGCAATTGTAGCCATTCCCCAACTTGTTGGCTCATTAAAAATCCCTTCAGAAAAGAATGCAGGATCAGTTAAAGGGTATTTTGTCAAATTCATGACATTTCGTGAAGCAAACTTTCACCTCACCAAAAAGAATTGAATTTTCAACCGTGCAAAGTGGGCATAGAGAATGGGTATTTGTCTAATTGACCCCCTTGCTGACAAATGTTGTGGAACATTAAATTTCTTACCATTTTAAGTTACTTTTACATGTGGGCAGGGATATCTCACCCCCAACAACCCCATTGCTCAATTAAGTTTTGGGCAATTGTCTGATTGATCAGTTTTGTGTAAAATTATTGGTGGATTCACATGGCATTGTACTACCACCCACACAGCCTGACAAAAAAAAACTTACCTTGGACCATTTAAGAAGGAAAAAAAACAATAATTTATTTTCCAGTTCCAGCTTATAAATCAACCAAACGCTTCTGTTGCTTTTTCTTGATGTTTGGTTCCCATTGGAGGAATAGTTTCTGCCTAATTGCATTTGCCATTGGAGGGTGTGGGACATACCTCTGAGGGCGTTTTGTCAGTGCGGCGAACATGATTTTGGTTTGGAGTTTACGTATGATATTTTTTCCCTTCCAAGGCCTGTGTGGGGTGAGACCATCCATTCAAATCAAACACAAAAATCCACTCAATTGTTATCTCTGTCAGTTTAGCTATCCTTATAGATTTCTGGTTTTCAGAAACAACAAGTTTGGAAGGCATCTATTCTTCTTATCCACACAAAAAAAGTTATTTTCGTATTAACTGGTGATGTTATTCAAAACAAGTTTATTTTTTTGCGGGGTGGATGCTAATTAAACTACAAGTCGGACACATCGTGCAGCAGAACCCCTTAAAGAGAAGAACAAAGGGGTATCTTGTCTCTTTTGTCTGCAGAACAAAGGCCACGTATGTGTATAGTGTAGTGGTGGAGCTAGGGGCTGTAGTAACTAGTAAGCCTACCCAAAAAACTGTGTAAAAAGTATTGGGCTATGAACAAATATTTATAATTTCTAAAAAGTATTGCAAAATAAGGTGATTTTACAAAATCAATTTTGTTATTTGACAATTATTTCACCCCAACCTAATTGCGTTTCACGTGGCATGTCATCATTTTATTATTTGACAATTATTTTAACTTTTCATTTTTAATTTAATATTTTAAAAAGGATATCAATTTTTATGATTTTTCATATGATAGGAATATTGCACATGCAAATTTAAAAGAAATTCCAGATGAAAATGAATATTTAAAAAAATCCCATTTTTTATATACAACATTGGTACCATTAGATGGATCATAAAAAATCATTTCTTTTAAAAAAACGATCATAAAAAATTATTAATCTAATACTTTTTTTTAATAAAAATTGGACAATAAATAAATCAAGTTATTAAAAAAAAGTAAATGTAATGACTCATGGTTGCAAAATCGGGCTCTAGTTTCACCACTCGGAGCCCGAACCATAATAATGAGGGTTAAGTTACGTCATCGAAGTCTATTCTCAAAATAATTTTGATGGGCTAATATATATGAATCACATGCTACCTCCGTTCCGGTAGACTTTGCCAAGAACAAGGTAGGTGATAAATAAGAATACTAAAAAATGTGTGGTTCAAATTTGTGCATAGGAGAGAAATGTGCAAAACCACAATTTAGTTGCTTCAATAGGAAATTGACAAAGTTTTTTGGAACAAGTAAAAAAGGAAAGTTGGCAAAGTCCAGAGTATGATATTGTTGCTTGATAAGTTCATATTACAACACGCATTTGATGCGTGTTGGAGTCGGATTTTGACGGTTTTCCTAGCTTTAAGGCGTTGCAAGTCTCAATTTTAGCTCAAGTTGTGATTATTAGGCGTTGGGTCGAGTTTTATTGCATTTGGAGTCGAATTGAAAAAGTTAGAGACCGACATCGGCGCTTAAAGAATAAAGAGGCAATCGGGAAGAGTTTGGAAGCATTCAACAGAGATTTGAGAGATTCGGAGGTCACCGGGAGATTCACGACGAAATTCTGATGAAGAGTGAGCATTTGGATCGACCTCGTATGCATCCGGGAGCATTTGTCGCAAGAAACGACAAGAAACGGTGAAGACAAGGCCAGGCACGACCGTGCCTGGGCCTGGGCACGATCGTGCCCGAAGGAGATTTCGCGAGGAGCTACTGGACGCCAAGCACGATCCTGCCTGGATGGGAGGCACGATTGTGCCTCCACCCGAGATACGCGAATGCTCCGCAGGCACGGAGGCGGGCACGATCGTGCCTGGCATCGTGCCTGCCTCCGAAAATCCTAATTCTACCCAAATTCCACCCTTTTCTATAAATAAGGCATCCCTAACCTTTTTTGCAGAATGAACTTTGTGGAGAGGCCTAGGACGAATTTTATCTGCGTTTTTACGTTGTTTACTTCAAGAACCTGAGATTCTTTGTAAGTTCAATTCTTTTAATTAATGTCAATTTATTCTATTTATTCCAATTCTTTTGATTCGTCAATTATGAGGCGTGAGTAGTTTAATTAGGGATTTGAGGTTGATGAAGGGGTTGATCATGATGTATGGCTACATTCCTTTCGGTTTAATTGCATGAATGTCGTTTAATTTGTGTTTGAATAATTTAACTGATATCTCTTGTAACCTAGAACGGCCGCTAGAATTACAATTGCTTGTAGAATAAATTAAGAGAGATCTAGTTTCTTCTAGGACACATTCACACACACTTAATCGTTCGCTAAGAGATTAGTAGCGATTAAGGGGCCGTAAGCTCGCTCGTCTTGGCAATAATTTAGGATCCTGTCGCATGAGAGATCAACCTGGTCCCCTAAATTATTGTACTCTACGCCGCTAGAGCGGTAAGAATTTAGTAATGATTAGCTAGGTTCAATTAAATTAATTTCATGTAATTAGGCCTGATCTGCCAGAAATCTGGTTACCCCGGAATCAATCTCTGTTCCCTTCGTCGTTAATTAAGAAGAAACCACATTTATTTTATTCGTTCATTCGCATTATTTTATTTTTTCCCAACCAATCAATCTCGCACGACGCATTTATTTAATTTATTTCTTTTTAATCGCTGAATTTAATTAATCTTTGTTTCCCTTTTTCCGTCTCTGTGGAGACGATACTCGTACTTACACCACTATATTACAATCTTTTTAAATGCGAGAAAACTCACTTTATGGCTAAAATTAAGATTGGATTTTTATCTTAACACTATTTACGGCTTTTCTTGTGGTTGGTTGGTATCTTGATGTAAGAAAGTATTTCTTAAAAATATACTCCGTAATTCTCTATTTGTTATCAGAAAACATTTCCAATATCTATGATTCTTTAGACTTTTGTGGAAACTAAAACTGTTTGATTTTATAAAATTGAGGCCATTTTCCAAAGAAAAAGATTTATGTTTCTTGATGTTATGATTTAAGATGTGATACATACAATAGTAAATTATTGTGAAAACTGTCAAATAGGTACTGGAACTTTCATAAAAAAGTCGATTAAGTCCTTCTATAGAAGACTTTGTCCGGCCGTCGCGATTTGGGGCGGCTAACGGTGGAATTTTTTGATGAAATTTTTCGAGCATCTTATTCATCAAGTCTAGTTTATTCATACCAAATTTGAGCTAAAAAATCAATCGGGAACACATTCAAATTAATTCTTGAAGATAACAGCGCATTTTTGTGTTCTCGAATTAATTTGAATGCGTTCCCAATTGAATTTTTAGCTGAAATTTGGTATGAGTAAACTATACCTGATGAATAAGATGCTAAAAAAATTTCATCAAAAAATTCCACCGGGAACCGCCCCAAATCGCGAAGGCCGGACAAAGTCTCCTATATAAGGGCTTAATTGACTTTTTATGATAGTTCGATGACCTATTTGACAGTTTTCCCTAAATTATTTGTTGACAAAACATTTTTTAAAAGATGGTAGTCACTTCACTTGTTTCCTTCAATCCTTTGCCCGGTCCTTTTGTTTTCCTTCATTATTTCATCATTAATCCTCCATCAGTTTAGCAGTGTGCCTGTGTTGATTAACCGTTCGTTGATGAAATTTTTAATGTTGATTACTTCGTTCGATACCCTATTATTTTTACTTGTGAACCTCGTTTTTTTTCGAATGCATGCAAACGAAAGATATTTTTAGCTCATTTGGTAGCACGAAAATCTGTTTTGGCTGATTCTGCTGAAATTTATGATGTTCTGGTTGAAGTGGCTGTATAGGTTGATTCTGCTTATTTAAGAAAAAAATATTTTTAAAATATATTTTATTAATAAAATAAAGAAAAAAATTATATGTAAAAATAGCTAAAATGGTCATCTACAGTAACTTCAGCCGATACAACCAAAAAAGTAACTCCAACCTTACTTTTTCTGCTTATTACACAATCCAGCACGCGAAAGTAAAAGTTATATGTTTGGTGAAAAAGTTGGCTGATAAGTCTAATAAGCCGAAAAACAGGTTTGTCAAACGGCATGTTTACCTAACTAGTTAATGGACTTAAGTACTTAACTGGAATTGCATTTAATATGTCAGCTTGTCTCATTTGTTCAATTAAATAACTAACTTAATCATTAAATCATAATGATTAAACTATAATATATTACTCCTTCACTGAGATTTTTTTTGCATATATTTAGGATGTTTTTACTTGGACTGTAATTTGTCCCAGACCAGACCAGACCAGACCAGTCCAGACCAGACCAGACCAGTTCAGACCAGACCAGACCGGCAAATTACAGTCCAAGTAAAAACATCCTTACTTTTAAGAAGCCCGTGATACGATAAATTGCTCGGAGCATAAACGTTTTAAAATTCCAATCAAAATAGAATTTTTATGTTTTTATTCCTTAAATATGAGCAATTCTGCCAAGTTTGGAAAATAAATATCATGTTTAAAGGCTAGTAATGCCAAACTTGGCACAAATATACTCATATTCAGAGAATAAAAAACATAATAATCCTATTTTGGACTTTCAAATTTTTTTTACTCCAATTTAAAGAATTCTCTTTATTAAATACGGAGCAAGAGACAAAAAAAGTGAATCATGCATAACTTAGGTGTTTTTTCGATTATAAAAATCTCCCTCAAAGTCGAATGTCTTTTAACTAAAAGGCTAAAGGGTCAAATAGGCCTTTGAACAGACTTAAAGTGTTCAATTAGCC